TAACTAAAAAGTTTACATTAAATTCCTTGCTTGTCATGCATGACAGTTAAATCAAAAAGCACTAAACGCCGTTTGTTTTAAAAAACTAAACTATGGCAACTGGATATAAGCCTGCCGGATTAAAAATGATACTCTATACCTGAAGTGTTTCTATACGTGTGTTGTTTATATAACTTAGCCTATTAACATAGGTCTCAAAAGGCATATGGCGGACGTTTTATATATTTTTGCATTGAAAACTGATAAATTCTTTTAGTTATGAGTATCTTGTGACCTCTAGAGTGTATTTCTTAAATTTAGCTGATAAACGTTAGTTTTTAATGTGTAAATAAGTTTATTTTATGTAGAATTGTAAATATTGATAGTATTTTCGTGCGTGGACGTTTTGATCCGTATTGTTTAGTGAAAAACGAAAAGTCTGTGATATAAACAATACATAGTTGATAAAATAATTTCCTGAGCTCTTTTGTAAATATTGTTTAGGTATTTTAGAATTTTAGTAGATTTAATATATTGAAAGAAGACTGAGAAATTGTGTGCGAGATTTTGCAAGCTATGTCAGCTGCCAGTTTATTGTCTTCATTGAAAGAGAAACCAACCGACGAAAGCCTAAAGAATGGCTCTAACCAATCAGGTGAGTATTGTTACCATTTAGAATATGAAATTGTTGTAGCTACCTGCATTATGCTATGTCATATTTGTTTATTTTATGAACCTTACACCTTCCAGACAATGCTCAAAATGTCTCTAATTGTACGTCGATATTTATTATCATAGAAAGGATTATTCCATTACACAAAGTAGTTCAACCACAAACATTTACTTATACTAAAATTAAAGAGGACAATCCATTTTCACTATAAGAGAAAAGCTTCCTATCAATCTAATCGACATTACAATGCATTTTACAATTACGTTCGTGCTATTATAAAATAAATATTATGCTAATGAATAACTGTCACAATTACTGTTATATATCACAACATTTGTGATATATAACAGTAATTGTGCTACACTGTCTGCAAAGTAAAACAAATATAGCTATAAATTTATTTATAAGTCTCAAGATGCTAATTTTTTTTCTTTAATAGAGTGATAGTACAAATTCATTGTTTCTTTTTAATATTGTTTATTCTGTCAATTGGTAATTTTGGGCTTGTTGCCATTTGTTTCGATGTTTTAATTAGATCATTCATAATTAAAATATTTACAATGGCACAGTAAGGTGGTAATAGAACCCGCCAAAAGAGAAGGACACATTTGAGTAGTAGAGTAGACCATGCATTAAATTTCTTCCCATGAGGTCTAATATTCCAAAGTTTTATATAGATTTAGGCCATTTAAACATATTATGTGTCTTTTAAATACTACTGGGTTATGGATTAAATCTAACATGCCCGGTTGTTATTTCATTATTTAACTGAATTATTCTGATAATGATCTATTTGTTGATAAAACTTCCTATTTGAAAAACTAGTAGGTATATTTTTTACTAGTAGGTATATTGCTTGTTTGTGTTAGCAATTTAGATGGTCTCTTATAAGTTAGAGAGGGAGTTGTGACTTGCATTTTTATCGACTAGGATTTAATTTCTAGTCATGGCTATGGACATTTCATAATCTGACTATAATTAGAAGATAGTTTTTTACAGTTATTTTCAGCTACATTTAGATATTGTTATTGTAAGCCTTGAGACAGGGAAAACATATTGCAACTTGAGTTTAGAGTGGTCAATAATTTATTATAATGAGAACTTTGCAAACATAAGAAATGTGGCACCAAAGTCTTGTCTCAAAACCCTTTCAGTAAAAACTAACAGATAGTGTGATATATATTTCTTTTAATTCCAAATGTATATAGATTTAGGTATTTGCAGTCAGTAATATTTAGAATCTTCGACCACTACAATAAATAATGAAATTTTACTGTTATATGCCCTTGTGATTACAACCAGTGCTACATACCGTGTGTTGTTGTTGTCGCATCTAAACCGCTTTGTATTTATAAATGTACCAAATTCAGAAAATTGATAATTGCATTGTTATTACTGTTCAAAAGATAGTATATCAATTTTGTCAATGTCCATACGAAAGTGATGATTTTAAACAATTTATACAGTTATTTTATTGTAAAAGAAGCCTACGCCGATATAAAAGGCGGTTTATAAAAGTAAAAAAATGAATTGACTGGACCCATTCCAAAATTAAATTTAATACTGCTTAACCAATAGTGAGCTCCCTTAGAACTTCGTATTTATAACATAAGTTGGAAACAATCCGTAAGGAGAAACCTTTTTAAACGGATCATTATCGGGCCACAGAAACGAAAGCAAAGCGCGCGTTGTGTAGCCACTCGTAAACGCGAACGGTGTAATACAATCGCAGCACCCCAGCGCGGCCGCGGCGAGGGATGCAACGGGGGATGCGAAGGCCAAGGTCGACCTCACCCCGATCATGAATGGAGCTGGTCGACTTTCCCGACGCTCCACTCTCCACCTCGAGTTTCGCAAACGAAACCGGTTTACATTAGTCTAATTGAAATGCCTTATCTTGTCTTTCGACTATTGAATCAAGGAGAAAGCAAGGGAACAATTTGTGCGTACCATCTTAAACCTGATCTACTATAGATGATTATAAGAATATTTGGCGGGGATCTTATTCGCCAGGTGATGGCGACGCATTGTCTGCGTGTATGTTTCGTTTACCGTTATATTGCCGCCTTGTAATGGAAAGAGACGCGACAACTCACAAAAGCTAGGTGCTTTGAGCGCGACAAAATGTTCGGCGAAATCGGTACCGTTTAATGAAATTAATATAGGAACGTCTGCGCCATCGACCATTGGTCAATCAGTTGATCTAGTTGTCTGCCAACCCGCCGGGCAAACAGGCCACTGCGCATGGCAACTAACAATAATTCACCCCCCCGTCTCTCATGCTTTTTTATTATTGAAGGATTGGAGTCTTAATTTATTCGTTGCGTTTATTTAATCACAGTGAAATGTGGGAGGCATTTCACTGCGCATTATGGCCTTGTGCCGATTGTTGTATAGCGATATTGAACTTAATACTAGACCTAGTTGCGGTCTAGAAACAACATGCAGCCACTCTGTTGCTATGTGCGTTGTGATTTCAGGTGAATTGTAATACGTCTATACTAATAAATGGTGAGCCGGTTTTTTTATTCGGTTATACTGTGAAAACTACGGAACCGATCGAAATAATACTTATACCATAAGATGCAGCATATTTCGGAGAAGGTTTTAGTATATGAATTATATTTATATCATGCAAACTAGTTTTCAATAAACGAGTACTCCACACATGTTGTATACTCTTTAAACCTGGCTACGGTTCAGTTACGTCACAGATAGTACATTTTAATAGGCTTTATTATTTGTTACTTTTTATTTTCACTTTTACAATGAAATACAATACAGGATCTCACGTGTTTAATTCTAAAGAGGCGATATAATTAGACACTTTAACCATATTATTATGTCTAAAGAGTATTAAGACAGAAGTCTGGTATCGTACATCTGAACTCACAACCTTTGACGGCAAGACGGCGTCCCCAACAACAATACCGCTTTCCTTCCTAAATTATGATAATATACGTGTCATTAAGAATTAATAAATGAAATACTTTGTGAATTACATACATGAATCAAAGAATTGCATTACATACATGTATATGCGATGATATTATGTAGTGTTATTCAACAGCGCTGAAAAGATGACGGGTATAAATTACTTTTCACGTAAACATAGATATGTCTAACGGGTAGGACATTACATTACAATATCTTATAGATACGAGTAACGTAAAAGGTGATAAAAATAAATGTACCATCGTGATATTTTTAACCTCATAAAACGCATCCGAAGAATAGTACAATTTCGGGGTTTCCACTGGACTTAATATTGAATGGGTTCATTTTACTTGATGCCTTTCACTACAATACCGCCTAAGTTCGAACGAGGAAGACAAGTTCGTGAAGGTCGAATGTAATTTTTATGTTAGCCAATTGCTTATATAATGTTCAGATTAGGTACATTTATATTAAAAGGTCCGGTTTTACGATATACTCACGACCACGACCGTGTTTACGGTAGGGGCGGTCAGAAACTAATATATTGTCCATAATGCGTGCAAAACAAAAGTACCTGAAAATATTTCCACGGCGTAATCGAAATGCGTCTTAATTCGGCACCTTCTATTTGGAGACATCGTCCATCTGGTGTTGTTGTTTATTACAATTAATGAGCTTTTATTTACGATAAAAGCGTAAACATTAAAATAAAGAGTTTATGTTTCTGTACCTCTTGGCTACGTCATGTCAAAAGCTTTTCAGAAATAATATATATATATACAGCGTGTCGTTACCATCGCGACAATAAATGAATACACGTCTAACGCTACTTGCCAATAATCATAAAAAAATATTAACGTTAAACAAAATCCATAATTTAAAAAAAATATTTATCAAACAAACTAATTAAGTAAATGTAACATAACAGTATGTTTTGTCTCTTTTCAATTCATTCAACACAATATTCATATGCTTTGTGACCTTTACAAATGAACTTTACGTTACAGTTTTATACGTAAGGTGTTCTAAAATTGTTTGTTTTGGAAAATTTAATAACTCGGTAAATATTGATGTTTAAAGAATGTAAATGTTTAATACAATTTTAAAAAGTTATCCTCTATATGTGTGTTCATTTATTGTCGCGGTGGTAACGACACGCTGTATAATTATTTATACTCTCGAATTCAAATTGTTGAAAAAACTCGCTTTTTTGTTCACAAGTTTGGTTATTCAAGATCCGTCCTACCTAAAATGATATTTATTGTAAAATCATCTCCATATGTAAATATGTGCATACATAAATACTTTTATATCTGGTAAATTTCCGCGTGTATCTATCATTGTTCAGTTTGACGGTAATTTGAGAATATTTCAATCGCAAGGAAAGACTACAAATGGAGGGTAGTCGCACATGAACGCGACGGGCGCAGTCTCCGTGGGCGCGGGGCCATCGCTCAGTCCTCAGTCTTTAGACGTGCTCCTTCGCTGGGTGTCGTGCGCGATCTCGTCGTCCCGGAAGTCCAGCTCTTCCACCGGTTTCTCAGAGTACTTTCTCACCGCGGTCCGCCCACACCGACGCCACTCATCCGTCGATACGCGAATAGCGTATATTAAGAGTGACGATCTGCGTCTCTGGACACCCCCTAGTTTTAACCTTTCCCCGTTTTGATCGTTTGTTTCGTTTCCCCTTTTGTTTTGTTTATTTTTTAGTTTTATTTACAATATAGAGATATCATATTTATTGTAGGCTTAAGTGTGTTAGGTTAAGTACAATACGTGTCACCCGTGCCCGCCGCCATTTTGTGGCCGTTCGCCGCGTCGCGCTTCGCTCCCCCTCCCCCCTCGCTCTCCTCGGCACCCGCCGCTGGTCGGTGTAGGCGCGCGATGGTGAGCAAGGAGCCGCCGGCGGGCGACGTGGCGAAGAGCGGCCGACGGAGGCGGCGCAGGGCCGGCAGCCGCGCGTCCAGGAGGCGCGCGCGCAAGGTGGCCGCGGCCACGGCGGTGACGGCGACGGCGGCGACGGCGGCAGCCCTGGCGGCGGGCCCCGACAAGGGGGGCCCCTCGCCGGCCAAGTGCGCCGTGCACGCGTTCGTGCTGCGCTACCAGAGCGCCCTGCGCAAGGTGCCCGCCCACCTGCCGCCCAGGGTGCACGCGGGCCCACCCTCCAAACGGGTGAAGCGCGTGTCGTGGCGTGAGTTGCGCCGCCCTTTGTACCCACCACTCCTCTCGCCATTCTCCACCACCTACCGGGCTTGTCTGTACGAATCGATAACCGGCTAATTGGCCGCGTCGCGATGGCAACGAGACAAAGGTGGCTTCGGCACGCGAAACGGATCTTTTCTCTGTTGTTGTTGCGGTAAATTGTTCGTTCGCCTAATAATAGTCGGTAATCCCCTTTGCCGTCGGGATGCTAACGACGGATACATTGAAATAAATGGAAAATTGGTATGATATATTTGGTAATTTTTTGTTCGCTTTGCTCCCAGGGAGGTAATTCGTGGAAAATAATATTTGACTTCACGATATATTCAAATGTAAATTCACAAAAACATCGCGCATTTCTAGCGTTGTTCTACCGATACATAAATAAGTAAATATTCCCTCATTTACTTCGTGTACGCATTTCAAGCTGTCATGCCTGTCGTATCGGCTAATGATAGATAAATATGTGGAGGATACACATACATTTTTCATTTCAATTTGTTTTAAAGCAGATTAAAAAAGGAATTTGTTAAGAAAAAACAGGGTAGTGCTCAAAATAAAACGAAATGGGAGTTTTAAAAATTATGTCTATTGTAAAGTATAATTAAACAGTGCCGTGGATATACGCATAAAATATGCACTAGGTTCGTTCATATTTGTCCAAAGCAGGAATAAAACTACGACCCGCAATATAAAACTCCATTGGCTAAGCAACGCGCGCAAAGTTCTTATGAGATACCGAACCGCCCAAGTTAATACAATTTTTTTTTTACAAATGCTTAGAACCCATTTTACACTACGTTCTCTAGTCCCAAACTAAGCGTTTGTACTATGGTTTGTACTAGATAACTTATAAACATATTTTTCTTTTGCAAAAAAATACATATTATACATATATAAACACCCACACACTGGAAAAACACTGCTCATCACACAATATTTTTCCAGTAGTGGGGATCGAACCCACACCCGCTGGTGCAGGAGGCAGGTACACTGCCCACTTGGCCATTCGGATAGTAAATACAATAATACGTACAATATTACTCAAAGTGCATTGTTAAAATGAAGCTAACTGTCCTCTTTGCCGACTGTTAGTTTAATGTGATCGTAGAATTTTTAAACATCTTATTTATGTCTATAACTTAAAATTCGCTATACACGTCGCTCGCCCAATATTCAAGTGACATCAAACTTTCTTATATTTGGCGGATACTTGCTAAAAAGTATTCTACTAGGACAGACTGACCTTAGGAGACAGTAAACGTGTTGGATTCGAAAATAGATTTTAAGATTGAACTTTAGACACCGGGAATAAGGTTTAAATTACAAAGTGTCTTCCTTAAGGGTTGTTGCGACACAAAAGAATTATGACCTGAATTCGCCCTTGGTACCTTTTCCGTTACCCTTCGTGATGTTGACATACATGTGCCAAGAATATTTATCACTATATCGTTTTAATATATGTATATTGTTTATATGTAAACATTTTTGCTTTGAGATTTTTGTTTTTGTTCGACCTATTTATTTGACTACAGAACCATTCTTAACGAAAAAACGCTACAAAGAGTTAAAATTTAATATAGTTTCAAGACAGCTCTATTTGTGTTATATATAACCCCGATTTTACTTTACTACCTTGTGTCGCTAAAAGTGTCGCGTAGTCTAAAGTAAGTTTGATTCCCGCCGTGAAATATCTAGGTGTTTTTTACGATTTTATTGAATTAATTTACTGATTTTTGTATGAAATTTATTTAAATGTGAAGTGGATTCTTATAAGTTAATGGATTAAACTCTAGTAAGTTAGCTATTAAGTTGCAAATTAATGGATTAAACTCTAATTAACCAGTGGTTCGCATGTCTGAGTGCGGACTGAGGGTTTCACCATTAAAGGATGTTTGTTGCTGTTGTTCCTAAGGGCTTTAAGGCTTCGTTCCAATTTCTCGATTGCACGGGCTAAATTTTAGTCGAGATTACTATAGGCATCGTGGGTATTAGTCGATTTATTGATCCGCTTGTCTATCGTTAGTTAGGTCCGCATTAACGCGCCCTTCGAATAGAATAGGGATGTCGAAAGTGAAGAAATATATCGATACTTATTAAAAAAATATTGATATTCAGCTCGATATATCGAAGAGAAAATATCGATATATCGGGATATAGGTCCGCGAAACCCCGTTGTCCAAAAAAGGTATGTCAAGTACTAATTATTTCACACCCTGACTCTGATGGATTCGAATTTGAAAAAATATCGTTTTCTGATACGATTTTCGGTACTGAATACATATTTTGGGTCCAAATTGGCTGAAAATATTGACATAAAATAAAAAACATCCCTCCCCTCGAGTGGAGGTCGCGGACGTTCGTGTCTAAAGAGCACCGTTGCGTCACTGCGGTCTGAATTGGGGGAGGCTGCGATGCGGTGTGCGCAGTCCAGCACACTGCGCAATACATTACGACGAATCATGATAATGCAGCACTGATACTAGGATAGTACGTGGAGAAGGCACTTGCTAGGATGGTCTCAGGCTGCGGATGTAAAATTGGACGAGTGGTGTTTTCGTACTTGTAGAACTTTTGATTTTGTATATTAGTCATCTTTGATTCTCTTTTGACTGCAGTCTAAATTTAGGAAACTATGTTAAATTATTTCGCTCATAAGAGTTAAAAAATAAACACTAACCTCGAACCTAAAAGCAGAACGCTGGATAATAACGGTCCAGTAAAGGTGAAACTTACATACATATTCATAAATAACCAGCAGTTTATAGATTCGTTTGTCCCGAGGCGCCCTTGTTGTATGATTGAAACGAGAATTGATCTGCTTGCGATTGATGCACAAACAAGTTGCTCATTGTGAGCCGCGATGCAATGCGCCAATCCATTGTTGAGTCCATTAGATTTTATTCGCAACGTTGAGGATGCCGCTTTAAAGGATTTCATGTACGCTACACTACACTGTAATGAAAGTAACAAGCATTTTATAGATATGGGTCTGTTTTATTTATGGGCCTATTTGGTATGTTTTAGGATGAGAAGGGCATTTTGTTAGCCGTACCGCGCTATAAACAGGGTTTATTATATTGTTTATTAATTAAGTTACGATACTCTCTCGGCCTTCATCATCATCCTACTTTCCGTGCTGGGGGTGGGTACCTGTGAATAATGTCGTAAGCAGTTTTGGCTATGTTTTTTACGACCGGCCGCCTGTCTGATGTCAAACTCCGGAACGATCATCTGTACGTCACACAAATATTCGTCCCGTGTGGGATTCGAACCCACGAACCCCACGCCGAACTCTCACGACTTATTTATGTAAGTTCTATTGGAATGAATTCAATTTATCGTAGTTGAATGAAGATGGGATAATTTTGTTTGCTACTTATTCGGGCCATTTGACGGATATAAATGTATTTGCCGGTACAAGATCGATGGTTGGCAGGCGAGGAGGAGGGGGGCGGCGGTGCGGAGTTTGGCGCGGGCGGGGGCGCGGCCGGCGGCGGGGGCGGGGGCGGGGGCGGGGGCGGGGACCCGGCCGTGCTGGCGGTGGGCCCGGCGCGGAGGCCGCTCGTGTACTCGCGCGACACGCTGCTGCGGCTGCGCCACTCGCCCCTCGTCAAGCAGGGGCTGGAGAACGCGTTCAAGGGCTGCGACGCGCTGGCCCTGTGAGTGCACGACACGCTTCTATTTACCTTTTTTATGGGGGAAAAGGGGGAGCAAACGGTAATCACCGCCACCACCATGTTGCCGGCCTTTTGGTAACGAATATGGAGAGCATATCCTGAAGGTTCCCAGGTCGCAACGGTTCGGAAAGCCCGCCGGCGGCAGCTGGTTCCACACAGTGGTTGTGCGAGGATGGACCTCTTATGTCGGTGGTGCTGCTTATTAGCGGTGACCACCGTCGGTGCGCCGCTGACACGGGCAGGACCTCGTGCAGTTCAAGAATACCTTTTGTCTGTCTTTTGGCTCCGCCGAAAAGCTTCAGAAGGTTCCATATGGGGCGCGAAAAACGCATTTTCTCCAGTAGCGGACGTGGTGATTCCGCTGCTAACTCCGTCTGCTACAAAGGGCAGAGAGAATGGCGCATCGCAATATCACTTCCTACTAGCCTCTCCTGCACCTACTCTAAACGCAACCTGAGTGTCGGAGCGGCCCTCTTGGAACAATGGCGGTTTCCTTTGGCCTCGCCGTGGAAGCCATAGTGATTAAGTACGTTCTCCGCTACTAGGCGGGAACCCAGCCGTAGGGGATAAATTCAGTTTATTGAGTCGTCTTTACTCCTCTTTAAGATTAATAAGTTGCAAATGCACGGTTGATTTGTGATCTGTCCTATTCCAGACGTATTCTGTTGGTTTCTTTACCAAGTGGTGCTTTCTCTCAGAGAAATCAATTTGATAACAGTGTTTACAATATTAACTTGAAACACCGTCGGTTTCAGCGTGCTCAAGAAACGACCAGATTCCCCCAACGACGACGACAGAGGCGCAAAGGGGGATGTCCCCAACGAAAACCACAAGGTATAATATAGTGTTCAATCTACATAAGAGATTTATTTGTAAATAGTGAACTTGTAATTTAAGGAACTGTGGTAAGGCAGCGCAACAGTGTTTGATGTTTCACGAATGGGTAGGTCCGTAACTGGGGCAACTTTATTTAAAGGTGGCAACGCATCCGCAACTCTACGGGTATTGCAAATGGGCGGCGGCTATCAGTTAACATCAGGCGAACCGCCAGCTCGTTTTTGGAATAGACGAAGCAGAGTTTATTTTAAGACGGAAGGAAGGAAGGAACAGATGAAAGTTCCGTCATGTTCAGGGCGGGTCGGCGGCGGCGCGCGAGCGGCGAGCGGCCGACCCGCGCGAGCGCGTGCGCCGCGAGAGCGAGGGCAGCGGCATCGTGCTCTCGCCGCAGCGGCGCAGCTTCACTTCGGGCTGCGGCGCGCCCGCGCCCGCCCACGCCCACGCCACGCCCACGCGCCGCGCCCCGACTCGCCGCACGCCCACGCCCAGCCGGCGCAGGTCAAGACCGAGCAGGGTGAGCGCTACTCCCGATATACGTTTCCCCGACCCAATGGCAGGAGAGGGCCCTGCGGCGCCGCGCGTTGACTTTTCACGGGCGGTCGCCTTCCCGAGGAGCGAAGGACGGCTTCCTCGACGTCGTGGAAGTCGTTCTTCGCACCGGGCCTAGATCGACCGGCGGTTCAGGTGACGGCCGTCTTGAGATTTGACACGCCGCTGTATGACCCCGCCGACATCGACATGGGTACTTGCGCCGGAGCGACGATGAACTAAAGTGTGTGTCCTGTCGGTAGCCGGGCGGCGCATCGGGTCCGGGCGCATAATGGTGCGCGAGGCGGGCGCCTGGGAGGAGGCGGAGTTCCGCGACGCGTACCGGCCCCCGGCCAGGGAGCGCGGCGGCGCGGCGGACAGGTGGGCCCGACCACGTGGCGGCGCCGGGCACGTTGTTTGTGGAGCGTCATGTGCTAATGTGATGGTGGTGGCAGGTACGAGCGGCGCTCCTTCAACCGCGACTCGTTCGGCGGCGAGGCGAAGCGCGAGGGGAGAGAGGGGAGGGAGAGGCGAGGGAGGAGAAGCCGCGCTCGCGCTACCAGCAGCGGCGCTACGAGCGCGACGAGGAGCCCGAGTGGTTCAGCGCGGGGCCCACCTCGCAGCTCGAGACCATCGAGCTGCGCGGCTTCGACGACCCGCCGCGCCCCAACGGCAACGCCGCTGCCACCGCTGCCACCGCCACAGCCACCGCTGCCACCGCCGCCGCCACCGCCGCCACCGCCGCCGCCGGCGACGCCAAAGACGCGGAGGCGGCGGAAGCGGCGGCGGACGCGGCGGACGAGCGCGCCGCCGCCACGGTCAGTGGCTGGTTTATTATACAATTGCAAATGATAGCAATGAATCGTGTGTTTCAGTGTATTAATTAATTGGTTGCGCAGGAGGAGGGGCGCGCCGAGGAGCCGCGGCCGGAGCGGCTCGAGCCTCCCGGCCAGCCCGACTTCAACCTCGACGAGTTCCTCAAGTTCGACTCCATACCGGACGTGCTCACCGTGAGTGCGCCGATGCCGTCCAGCTGCCGTCCAGCTGTCGATTGAACCAATGAAAACGATGAGCTTGTGATTGACAGAACGGCGGCGGCGGCGCGGAGGGCGGCAGCCGCTTCAGCCAGTGGTTCCGGCGCGACAGCCCCGACGCGCCGCACCTGGACGCCATGCTGCACCACGTGCTCGACGGTGCGCCTCCCCACTCTTGATCGCCACTCGAAACTATGCCACTATATATGATATATACTCTGATATGATAATTATGATGATTTAATGCAGCGCGGTTTGCTTGACGACCTAACCTGGACTGCCTGCCTGCCAATTAGTAGTAAGGTGTAGTAAAATGAGTGGCGCCGTCCCCCGCAGATGGCGAGGGCCCCGGCGGGGGCTTCGCCCCCATCTCGCCGCCCGCCCCCGCCGCCGCCCCCGCCGCCCCCGCCGCGCCGCACCAGCCCTTCTCCCTGCTCGACCTCATGTTCCGCAACAACCACAAGCCCAGAGGTGACAACACTTGCGCCTAGTACGGTCAAAGACCTCACCGCTTCACGTATCTTTTTATCAGCACATGATAAGCCAGCACTTACAACTAACAATTTTATATACTTTGCTTGAATATACTGAATTAAAAACGTGCACGCGGACAGTGAGCTATCACGGCTTTTCAGCTGTGATTACTTATGAAATATTAAAAACCAATGATTAGCATTACCATAGTAAAAAAATACTAAATTTATAAGACTGACACAAGATGAAAAGTTGGGGCTTCCAATATTATCAATGAACCCATATTTTTTTTCGTTTTATCAACCTTTCTTTTCCTGACTATAGTATTTCAATTACGTATTTTATAATAAATATAAGCACAAATTCAAAGTGTACGTTTTTTTAATTTTAAGAAACTAAAGTTTATAATTTATATCTCAAATATGTAACATTCCAATACAATAACTATATTATATATTTATTTAGAATGTAACTTATACAGGTGCCTTTAAAAATCAAAATTATAAATAATTAAACCTTTATATCAGTGTTCCCCTTAACATGAAGTAATGAATGTATGTAAGTAATGAATGTAGATGTAATACAAAAAATATTAAAATATTTGAACATCAAGTAGTCCTTATTTGATATAATTATATGGTTTTATCGTTTCTTAAATAGGCAAACAGCGAGATGAAATCAAAAAAAAAAATAGGGCAATTCAATTAATCTGTTTGCTTAATAAATGAAACGATATCCACAGAGGCGACGAGCGCGATGGGCGCGGGGGGCGGCAAGATGCACAGCCTGGAGGAGCTGGAGGCGCGGCTGCGGCCCCACCCCCAGCCCCAGCCGCAGCCCCAGCCCCAGCCCCAGCCCCAGCCCCACCACTCGGCGCCCCACCACCACGTCTCCGACCACGATCTCACCGCCTTCAAGCGCCTCGTCAGTGCCCACACTTCTCTTTATCACGGCTCACCTGATGACCCTGTACACATCTGCAAAACCTATTGAGTGTACCCAGGTTACCTGACTCACCAGACGAACAGCGAAAGTATAATAGTGCCCCTTCACGCCAGTCTTCTGTGTGTGGTCCTGCCACAGTTAAGACTACCACAGGGGAGGCCTGTGTTCAACAGTTGTTGTGTGTGTCTTCCTGTTGATGATGATGATGATGAACTTATATGCAATCCCTGAAATGTTGTAGATGTCTATGGGAGGCTGTATCACTTAACATCAGGTGAACCGGCACCTTGTTTGCAAACTTTACTCATAAAAAAATTGAATCATAAATTAAGTGATTATCTCTTTGATTCTTATAATAATAAGGTATTAAATACCAATACCTGTACAAACAGTTTGGAACCATGTAATAGACTTTGCCTCTCAAATATAGTGGACACGAAGAACACATTTAATTTAAAGGCAAAATCTATGAAAGCAAATCTATTGAATTGAAGAATAGTTGTAGTTGCTATTGATTGTAATTCATAGTTATCTTTGGATCTATAAATTAAAAAAAATTCATTCCAATCATAAAAATTGTGCGAAATATGAAGTGAGTACTAAAGTGTCTGCATGAATTGGACCAAAGGTTGTATTAAAATTTTTGAGTTATTAGATGATAATGTGATAATGAATGAAAAAGTAGAATGTTGATGTACTGCGGTGGTTGCAGCTGGCGCAGGTGTCGGGGGGCCACGCGGTGGCGGCGGAGCAGCGGCCCCCTCCGCCGCCGCCGCCCCAGCAGCAGCAGCAGCCGCAGCCCATGAGCCTCCTGCAGGTGGGACAGACTCCGCTTTTGCAATCTTTGCAGCACATCTGTTGTGATCAACACGCGTTGCTTTTCAGATGCTAAGCAAAAGCATGGAACAGCAACAACAACAACAACAACAACAACAACAGCAGAAAGCGCAGCAGCAACAACAACATCAGCAGCAGCAGCAGCCGCCACACATTCCTCAGGAGCTCCTATACAAGCTCCTTCAAGTGCAACAGGTATCTGAACCTATGAATGAATGATGCACATTGTTATTTAAATTTCATTATAAACCATCTGGTGTCAGTGTTTATTAAATACTTTATGTATTTAAGCAATATTACTGAGTAAAGTAGAAATTTTTAGATCAATGTTCCACTACTGGCTAATGAAGGGTGCAGAATATTTTATCTTTCACAATGTTATCTAGTCCCAAACTAAGCTTGTAATATGAATACTAGGTAATGGTGATGGCGATGAATATATTTATACTTAGTTTTCTTTTGTAAATAAATATGAAAAACTGCAGCGGCAGCAGCAGCAGCAGCAGCAGCAGCAGCAGCAGCAGCAGCAGCAGCAGCAGCAGGCGGCGGAGCTGGGCCTGGGCGCGCACTCTGCCGCCGACCGCGAGCTGCTGCAGCGGCCGGAGGCGCAGGCCATCATCCACGGTACGAGCCGCCGCACCGCCACGACCCCACTCGCATCACGTAGTATCACGTAGTATCACGGACACACAAAACACCCGCAATGATTATTCAAAATGAATGAAGACAATAATATGACTTGTTCGTCTTTTTAATTTTATGCACTTGGTTTCAATATTCTATGTACAGAAATATATCTGGAAATACAATTTTTACATAAGTATTGTTGAGCAAATGTCCAAATACGATAGCTAGTAAATGAATCTATATATAGATAGTGTACAGGCAAAGTCAACATTTTAACGCTTGCCAGATATGACCTAGTTTCATATTTTAGTTTGTTATTATTATTTTAATATTATCAGTGCATTATTTGACATTCTTAGCTGCAACCCGATTGACATACATAAGCTCATCTATCCTATGTTGTATTCAACACAGATATATTGAAACTGGCCATTCTTAAGGTATTATGTCGAGTTGGTATCCAATTATACTATAAAAGAAACCTGCTGAGCATTTTTGATAGTAGGTGTGATCTTGATTTATTAATTGACTAGCGACCGCCCGCCTTAGCACGGCTGCAATTTATTATACATATAGAGCTTCCTCTGGAATTACTATCTAGTAAAAAATACCGCATCAAGATCCATTGCGCAGTTTTAAAAATCTAAGCAAACATAGGGACACAAACAGCGGGACAACTTTGTTTTATACTATGTAGTGATTTGACTAACGTTTGTAGGCTTGAAGGCTGGCGAGATCACCGTGCAGCACCTTATGCAGCAGCTGAGCAATCCCGGCTTGCAGAGCCGCCATCGCGAGCTGTTGCTTACCATTCTTCGGCTCCACCAGCAGCACCGACAGGTAAATGGCACAAATTCGAATACACCCAGAGGAATCTACTCTGATCAATTTTCATTATGGTAAGGCCACACAGAGGAATACCCAAGGCAGGCGCATGGTCCCAACCTCGCAAGGAATCGCGACAAGCGGCACTCTATGGAGGAGGCCTTCACCAGAAGAGGGGTCCAGATTGCATGTTGTATATCAGACAATTTGATAACCACGCCCATTACTATTCATATATATTGGCAATGGAATAATAAAAGCTTTTTTATTTTATTTATTTATTTATTTAAAGTTACACAGCAGGTAAGAATGTTGCATCAAGGGGCAAGCTCGTCTGGGGAAGTATCACGATCTCACATGGGACCGGTGTAAAGTTGAAGCATGTATCACACATTCGCGGTTCGTGTGGTGAGCGACGTAACCAGTAACTTTTATATATTTCCATGTATGAAAGTGACCAGCGCTTGACTGCCATCCCACCTGATGGTAAATGCGCTAGCACAGTAAAAATCTGTTCACTCTTGCCTCAAAGAAGTCTCAAGTTATAATCGGACGGAAAGATGGATGTCGGCTGGTAATGTGTATTTGCCATCCGTTGTAGATATACACGGGCGGCAGTAATAACTTGCCATCTTTTCAAATAAAATAACCATTTTTTTACTACCGAAAAACGAGTTCTGTTAAAGAGTCGTTTAAAAATGTGTTTCGGTCGCCAGCAGCAGATGGGCGGGTCGCCGCACCTCTCGCTGCCGCACCAGCAGCCGCTGCGCCTCTCGCCTCTGCCGCACCCCGGTACGGATTGCTCTTGATCGCCATTCATATCCATGGATCATCAGGCATTATACTCATTATACTCATAATTTTTAAGTATTAAGTTTCATTCTATAAATAATACACAAATGCTTATGCCATGTTGCTATTTGTTGACTTGCATTAAAATTAATTGTCATGGTGATTTGCAATTTGGACGCAGCATTCTGTGTGTCCCCCATCATGGCCACCAGTCCCAACACCCTGTCCGTGCACCACCCAGGTATCTATTGTACAAAGTATTGACACCGCTACCAACCTTTGCACTATGCTATAAAAGTACAAAACTTTACCATTGACCCAAAATGTGTGTTAGGTGTTCTGAATTACTGTCGGCCCAGAGTAATTATAATCCAGTAGCGTCTAAACATTCTTAAGTTATCAACTTGCTACTGCTGACTAACACAAGAAATCTATAGTGTGGATGCATTGATAGCGCCCTAGTATATAGTGGTGAGTGTGCCCGTGCACGCGTCAGGGGACGTTGCAGGCGTGGCGGGCGTGGCAGGCGTGGCAGGAGTGGCGGGCGTGGCAGGCGTGGCAGGCGTGGCGGGCGTGGCAGGGGCGCCGGCGCGCATCCCGTCGCCGCGCGAGCTGGCGGCGCACACGCAGAGCATCATGCAGGGCGCGCTGATCAAGAAGAAGCTGGAGGAGCAGCGCGAGAATTACCGCCGCCGCCACGACGCGCACAGCAAGCCCGCGCCGTCCAACCCCACGCCCATCTCCTTCACTCCCACCTCGGTCAGTGCCCCTCGAGTAGCGCTCGCTCTTTCTAGCTCTTTCTTTTTGTCTTTAGTGAAACGACTTCGAAATTCCAAGTAAATGTCTCACACGCAGGTGTTGCGCAAGATGACTGCGGACAAAGATTCGGAATCCGGCAGCCCCAAACAACAACAACAACAACAACAACAACAACAACAGCAGCCGCCGCCACAGCAGCAACAGCAGTGGCAGCAGCCGCCTAAACTACCACAGGGCAGGCCCATTGTTAAGGTACGCGTTTCATAAAGATACAATTTTAGGACAATACAGCAACTTCAGCGCAAATAGCTTGCCCACTCTTCCAACAAAGTACAATGGCTTCACAAAAGGCCGGCGGTGAAAGGATGATGTGTTAAACTTTTGCATTTCGGTTCGTGGGTGAGGTTATCTTCAACCTAACAATTACAGGTGTTGTGGCCATTGTTAATAATAATTATATTCTCCTACTAGACCATTTAATAGAAAAAAAAATGATGAACACCTGCACTAGACAACTGCAAACCAGCAATGACTGCAAACTGCAACAAGAGGCAATATAGTTTTGTAAACATTAAAAGAAGTACTGGCTTACTGGAGTCACTCTACTCTTCTCCACATTTCATTCTGATAAGACATGTATTATGTTGTGTATAAATGATGTATAGAAATTTAAATGTAGTAAATTATGCTTTAATAATTTACTAGCGGCACGCCCCGGCTTCGCACTGGTTTTATACATATAAACCATTATCTTCTCACATCACTCTACCTAGTAAAAAAAACCGCATCAAGATCGTAGTTTTAAAGATCTAAGCGTACATAGTGACAGACAGACAGCGGCATGACTTTGTTTTAAACTATGTGATTTGCTGTTTGGTTATTACAGGGCAACCAAAGCGGCGCACCACCCACTGTTGGATTTGGTTCTCCAGCGGATTACCAGCACCACTACATGGGACAGCAACAGGTAGATTAAACACTGTCCAGATGTAATTATGACATATCAGTTTCTGTTGTTGCATTAATGAGCCGTCTTGACCGAGAAACTATAATATAGAGCCACATAATCAATTGGCAAGTAGCATTTATACTTTTATGGGATAACAGATTCATGCTGTTTAGCTTTCATTCATTAACTTATAAAATGAAGTAATACAACCATTCTTTTTTACTTTTTTATTTACATATTTTAGATTTTTACTTTTACTTTACGGTGGCAGGGCCACGCAGCAGCCTCGGCTGTTGCACGAATGGGCAGGTCCTTCCGCGTAAGTTCCACGACCTCACAGAAGACCAGCGTAAAGTGGAAGTATGACAAATACTTTCGCGTTTCGTCTGGTGAGTGAGGTGGCCGAAGGCCAATTTTCAAAAGGTCAACGCATCTGTAACCCTCGGGTGTAGCAGATGGCCATGGGCGGCGGTATTCAATCACCATCAGGTGAACTGCTTGTTTGGCAATTGTTTAAATAAAAAAAAATTATATTTGCCGTGCATTACATTAGTAATTAAGATTTGTATAATTTAAATTCTATTTAATCTTTAAGAACAAACTGTTGTTAAGTTATTATAATTGGTTATAATGAAGCCCCCCGTTGATGCTTTTTGTCATTTGAATGCAGCAGCAAATGGCGGGTGGAGTGCGAGGTTTCCCTCACCCGCAGCAACGTCAACAAGCTCCCACTTCTGTAAGTTTTCGTTTTTGTTGTTGTAAAAAATATGGTTAATGAAATCTTGTAGAAATAAAGATATTATGCACAAAAGATTTTTTATAAAGTAGGTAAGAGCGAAAAGATTGAGAAAAATATGAACAGGTATATGAATAGTAGTGAAACTGAAAGTTTGGAAGAAATGGGATAGAATTTTTCATAGTGAACTTTTATTGAATGTCATTTGAAAATTGTTACTGAGATTGCTAAAAAGAAAATGGCATATCTCACTAGATATGTCAAGGTCACACTACTTTCAATCAAACAAAGTTAGTTGATAAAAGTAAAAATACAATCAATATCATAATTATGTTTAAAGCAAGTAGTTTCTTTCATTACTTTAGATTGCGTTAATTTTGCCAATGATCGATGATGATGAAAATGCAAATTTATATCCCACAGCAGTACAATAACATGGGGTCCATGGGGTCAATGGGGTCCATGGGCAACATGTCGCGCCCCATGAGCGGCGGCAGCACGCTGCAGCAGCTGCTGATGCAGTCGCACCACAGGAGCCTCAACGGTGAGGCCCTCCGTTCTTTTTCTCTATACTTACTTTTGGCGTGTTTGGGAAAGATGATGGTGTTACCATGGCGATTGATAACATCTTCTTGACGTTTATCTGCATTTTCAAGTTGTTTCGCGTAAAATTGTTCACAAATGGAATTTAAAATTCACCGGGCAGGGGCTAAAGTTCTTAGTTATAAAGAGGTACGAATGTTACCCGCACAAAGGTGAGTGAGAAGGTCGCTCCGTTTGCTTAGAGATGGGCGGCGGCGGCGCCGGCGACAACCAGCTGGCGCGCTGGTTCTCGCCCGAGCTGCTGGCGCGCGCCTCGGCCGGCAAGCTGCCCTCCGTGCACGTGCCCAACGCGCTGCAGCTCGAGGACCTGGAGCGCCACCACCAGCCCCACGCCCACGCCCACCCCGCCCACGCCCACGCCCACGCCCACCCCTCGCACGCCCACGCCTCGCACCCGCCGCAGCCGGTGCGCAACTAGGCGCCGCCGCCCGCCGCCGCCCGCCGCCGCGCCGCATGCTTTAGAGCAATGTCGGCGCATCTGGCGGCGGCGGTGACGGAGAGGACACCTCCATCGAGAGAGGGCAGGGGACGCTTTTGGATGCCACTCCTTGTCACGTGACAACGACCCCCTTTATTTTCGCGAGATTACTTTAGGATCCGCACAAGTCCGACGGTCGCATTTGTGTTCGGAAGTCCTACATTTTTTTAAACCGATTTTTTTTTTCGAGGCCAGATTGTTTCGATGATCTAATTGCATGCAGTACGTCAATTATGTTAACGTCGAGTGTTGCCAGGAGAAATGTTCAATTTGCATTTAGATTATACGCATTTCCCCCCCGAAACGACCACTGAGCCATTCGAGGAGAGCAAATTGTTGACTAATCGTTAAGGATCAAAAATTTTTACATTCCCCCCCTCCTTAACGATTTGGCGCGGTTCTGCGAGATGCAGTTTCGGATTAGCTGGCAACACCAGCGCACGGTACGGAGGAAGGTCGGTGCCGTCCAAAGGATCGCGAAGTGCAACCGTTCGCTCGGCGGGCATGAGATGCAGCCGAGCGGCCGAGGCCCAACTCCCAACTCCCGTCGCCCCCGCCCTCCGCAGCGAACACTGTCTCCTGTAAGCTTTAAATTATTGATTAAAGGAAAATTTGAAAGTTGCACGCTCCGTTTCATTTCCCGACCTATTTTATTGAATATTTATTGTTTTTATCATTACCGTAAATTAAGATAAAGAACTAAGATTAACCGCTGAGCAGTCTCTGGCCGCGTAACCCAGGAAGCACAGGTTACAACTAGCAGAGGCGAAAAAATGTTTTGTTGAAATTAGAAACACCTTTTGTTTAATGTGCTCCCCTGTGGTAGGTCCCGGAAGATCCATGACTAAAGCAACACTTTCGGAAGAAGCCTGGAAAATGAAGTAAAAGGTGACTTGGAAAAACCAAATGTAAAATGCTCATAAACTTCTCCCAAAAGGTTTACGGATCAGCCTATCTCAAGATTTCAAAAAAAGGAATTTCAAACAGTGTAGTAACCTTAAATACGAAACCAGAGTTGCATTTAAAAGTATATCTGAATCGATACTCTTAAATCGTTATAGATATAGAGATATTTTTACGCTTCTAAACATCCATCCCAATCTACTATCCCAAAAACGCTTACATTGCAGGATTGCTGCATCTTAAATCTGACACGATTTATTGATACATTGATTTACGTAGCTTATTTTGAAATCAGTGACCTTACTATTTTGTGATAAATATTGTGGCTGTAGTCAGTAACGTCTATAAACTGATAACAATTGAAAATATATAAAACGCCATCTGTTGTAAGTTTCACAAACGATTCCCGTCGATTCCTATACATAGTTAAAGATGGCGGTACAAGAACATTCAATTCATTATTTTAAACACTGTCACTGCATCCATATTCCATCTTAAAGGGGTTAATAAAATTACAAGGTTCAGCAACCTGACAAAATAAAGTTTTGTTTTAAAGACTATATATACTATAGAGATATTTACTTAACAAAAATAAAGAAATAACTAGAATCAGTTTTACACTTAAAAGACTTATTTGTTCACGTGTTAAATATATATAAAAAACGCTTAGATTCAAATAATCTATGACTGGCGAACTACATTATCGTTAACGATTATTGCCCGATCTAGCTCCAAGCAGAAAAAAAGGCCAATTGGCAGTCGGAATCGTGCATCAAATGAAATCTTTACCTACCACAGCCTTAACACATTACAGTGATCTATACAGCGTGTCTTTACCATCGCGACAATAAATGAACACACATATAGAGGATAACTTTTTAAAATTGTATTAAACATTTACATTCTTTAAACATCAATATTTACCGAGTTATCAAATTTTCCAAAACAAAGAATTCTAGAAAATCCTTACGTATAAAACTTTAATGTAAAGGTCACAAAGCATATGAGATAAGCATAAGCATTGACCTGCCGAAACGTAACAGTGATTATGATAGTCTTCGAGAGATTTAAGTCGCCTCGAGGGTCGGGATTGGCAAGTTTTGTGTGGTCCATTTATACGAATTTGCCGAAAGTATTTGTACCCTACCGTGTGGATAGTTTGCACCAGTACGTTATTAATGTCTTCCACAGACATCACATCGACTGCAAGCGCACTCAAATTTATAGCTTCACCTAATGGGCATCATGGTGAACATCAACACCATGGTGTTTGCCTTCACAAAAGATAGAAGGCCGTGAAAATAAACCACGTTTAATGGAGAATATTAGACAAATCAGGGCAGGTCGTAGGTTGTGGTCGAATGGACAGGCTCATAAAATTTGTAAAGAATGGGATGGCAGGTATATAATATATTGTCCTGTGCACCACGATTATCGAAAGCCAAAAAGTATTGTTCCAGTACTGTCAAAAGAGAAGATACAACAAACGGTTTCCTCTTCATCGTTAAAGAGATGGCCTCATTCCAATACCGTATTACTTGATTAACTTCAGACACAAGTTGGTTCCGGCACTTGTTCGACGTTTTGAGTGAAGTTTGCGCGGTGGAAAATAGGAAATGTCTGATATGAAACGTATCATCAATATCCAGGAGAGACAAGAGTAGAATATGACACGTAGATTTGCTGTACTTAAGCGTTTGCAGGCCTATCGTTAGCCACTAAGACCTTGAGGATAATTCGTGAAGAAACTCGAATTCATTATTATGAAGGGCGTAGTACAAGGTCTACAGAGGCTATACCGCATCCACAAAACACCATTTCAAGATGGTTAATCAGAGTCTGCAGGCATGTTTTGTGTATCTAGAGTCTAGACGAGGTTCATAATCTTTACCTAGTATAAAACAAAGTCGCTCACAATGTTTGTATGCTTAGATCTTAAACTACGCAACGGATTTTAATGAGATTTTCAGCAATAGATAGAGTGACTCAATCGGAAGGTTTATATGTAGTAGCAATACATGCCTATTTTAGTAGAGAAAAGCCGAAGAAATTCAATATCTACATTGCGAAGCCGGGGCGGGTCGCTAGTAGAATATAAATAATTCCTTGTTGCTTTATAACTTTTTCCAAACTTATCTCACATTTATCATTATGGAACTACTTGAAGTTTCTTGAATTTTTTTTTGTTTCTGTTCTAAAAGAGGCTTTTAATGAGTACCTACATTAACGCTCCCTTCATAGTATGGAGAACTAACTTTCTATTAGTAACAGCTGTTGACGATAGTATAAATGCTATCAAAAAATAAGATTTTTGTTCGGAAATGTTATCTAAACTGTGGATGTCCTTTAAAATTATTAAATATATCTAATTTAAAGTATTCTTAGGAATTTATATTGCCAATCTTATCTTATACCTACACTCTTTAATCAGACATTGGACATTAAAGATAATAATAAAATCAGTTTAGAAATAGTAACAAAAATGTATTAATTCTCCATTACACACAAACTTAAAAATCTTAAATGTAAACAAAAATAATTCTCCAGAAGGCAGAAATATTTAGTGCTATAAATTTTTCGTTAAACATTAAAAATATATATTTAGGTATTCAACATGTAAAAAAAGTGAGATCAGGAACGACCTATTCAAAAATGTTTTGTGTTTAATAGTTGCGATGGAGTTCAGCCATTGTCAGATTTCCATGTAGGTACTATCTGGTTGTATTAGCTCTCAAGTAATGGCTCTCCGTTCGCGGGAACGAATTTATGTGATAATGAAGTTATTACTGATCTTAGAATTTTTGTCGTGTTTTTCACGTTTATTAGTAGAACTCATACTCAAAACATTATTATATATATTTTCAATTACATTTCAAAAAGTTTTTTCACCAATGGCCCATGTATTCAGCAAAAGTATCTGACGAACCCTAACTTCACATACATCGATTATTAAGTACGAACGTACCTAGTAACTCAAATTAGGTTTTCTTTTTGCCTTAGAAAGGTGCCGGTTTTAAATATTTTTTTTTATATAACATTATTTATGACTAGAATTTAATTAAAGAAAATGGATAGACTTAAAAAAACCTCCCTGTATAGACGTTAAATTTGCAAAATTCTTTTTTTGTTCGAATGAATTTTATTCCGTAATGGGCCCATATAAATCCATACTAATATTATAAATGCGAAAGTAACTGTCTGTCTTTCTCGCTTTCACGCCAAAAGTACTGAACCGATTTAAATGAAATTTGGTACACAGATAGTCTAAAGCCTGAGAAAGGGGATAGATAATATTTATTTAAGGGCTACAACGAGAGCGAAGCCGCGGGCGAAAAGCTAGTTTCATATAGGAAAGGAAAGGAAATTGTTAAAATTTAAGTGCTGACTTATCACGTGCTCAGCTGTGAAGGAAAATATCGTGAGAAAACCTGATAATACTAAAAAAAATGTTTCGACTATATGTGAAGTCCGCCAATCCGCAGTGGGGCCGCATGTTGGACTATGTCCTAATTACTTTCTGAACAGAGGAGGCCTTTGCCCAGCAGTTTGATATGTACCTATAGGCTGTTACAGACTTCTCATTTGAAATGCTTAGGGATTTTCTTTCCTTATTTGCTTTTAATCGTTTCCTTCTTTTCCATCCCAGTTTCAGTTTGTACTTTTCTTATTATTATTGACCCTTTGTTCACCACGGGTAATGGTTGTGCACCATAACACCTTGCTAAAAAAATCGAAGAAGCTAAGCAACAATGAATACTGCGGTTATCTAATAAATAGGTTAAAAGATAATTATATGTATTTAATTATGTATCTAATCCACCTAAATTGTGTAACAAAGTTAAAAGAATTTTGTTAGATGTTAGGTAGGTTAGGTTAAATTGGTTTGATTATATTAGATTTAGTATTATTTTAAACTTTTAAGTGATAATAGAGTTTTTTTAGAAGTCGGTTCTTTTTTTGTTAAACAGCTTTTTATTTTGACGTTTTATGGATTATTTTTTTAGATTCTAGCGCAGTTGATCTAGTTCAATATTACCTTCATTATTTTCTTTCGCAAGTCGACCATATTGTTATTAGAAGTCTTAGGAGATCGAAAACTAAACGAATTAATACAAAAAACTTAACTAAAAGTGTTGAAATTATATTATATTATAAATTCTGAACATGAGGTTAATATTTATAGGTGTGGTTACTGAATCCGAAATATTATTATCTGAAATGTATTATCTCCAAATGCAGGTTCTTGAATCTTATAGTCATGGACGACCTATAAATGTTTAAGTAGTGTGTAGTGTGTGGACTTATACATGTTAAAAAAAATTAATTCAAAATTAATATTATTTCAAATTGCATCTTCAAGATGTATGGAGTATGGAGTTAACTCTGCATATAATAAAAAAAAATAAAAATCATCTTATGATCTGATTTCTGCTTTTATACCACCTTTCATTTTAGGCATATATATATGTTTCTAATTCCTCTTCTTATTCATGTGAACAAATAAATAAAATTTATTTTTAAGGAGTTTATCGCATTTAATTTAAATTCGCAGCCTTTTAATTCGTCGTGTTTAATTTACATTTAAATGAAACACGACGAAATGGCTAAAAATAGATTTGTTCAAGTGTATAAATTATGCATAAATAAGAAATACATTGGGCCAATTATACACATAATATGTATGTAGACAGTGTTCACGCACGTCTCTCATTGCTCCTGTGATTTGTACTGTTTGTTCTGGTGAATATCCAGTTCGTAAGCGCTTTAGGTCCGGTTTCTGAAACACTGATCATCGTAGAAATTAACTAATCAGCTGTCAAATGCCTTCTCGAATTTTATTTGAGTTAAAATAAAAAAATGTGTCAGTGTGTATATTAAAGTAACGAAATAATAATAAAGTTACAGGACATGTTCCATTAACATGTCCTGTAACAGTATATGAGATGGATTTTTCAGAAATGACAAGTGAAGTAATGGTGTATTAGTTTTATTATAATACTTTATGTATATTTAAAGAAGGGGAATCGTCGTACAATAATAATCAAACTAATCTGTAGTAAAAAACTATTCTGTATTTCTTTGTGTCTCCGGGTTTAAACTGAGTGATGAACTGTTCGTACTCGATTACGAATTGTTGTAAATAAATGACTCGATTAAATCAGGCTTCCTGTCATAGCGTTTCCTGGCATCACGATAAATTTTGGGGCGTCACGACCTTGTTTGTACGTGTTTAGCATCAGCTCCACCTCAGCGGTTGTGGCAAAAAGACGTTTATAATTACGACGTATATAAGTGTTTATGTTGCGAAATATAACAGAAACCTGTTTTTCTTTTCATCACCCCCGGTATCATATTCTTTTATGCGATCAATAACATCAAAACGCGCGTGTTGTCGTCGATTTTTGTATTAGTTTCGGAATATCGCGATCTTCGATCAGAGTTATATCTTATCAGATCTTAATTGTACATTGTACCCTTATTGTCGGTTATAATTGGTATAAATATAGCTTAGAGGTGAAAAGACTAAGTTATTGTAAAGAAGGCATAATCTAAGGCAGTCAGGTGGACATGGCAGCGGTAGCGGAATCCATGGCGACTGTGCTGGCAGCACAGTCCGCCTTCCAAGTTATCAGCACACTACAAATGTTGTCCTATATGTTCCCGCAGTCGGCTGATGTACAAGGTAAGCCTCTTCTATCGAGAAGACATAATTCATTGTTTAAACATTGCCTTACTATTTTAAGGGACTATTTTATTACTTTGAAAAACTCATTTGCTTCATTTATCGGAATATCAGAGTTTGGAATACGACTCCTGATTTCGGCGACAGCGGTGACCGGTCTGAAGTCCGAATACAGCAGGAAGACCTGATAATCCTCAAGATCGGATCGCAACCGGGCTTACTACCCGGGGGCGACCAAATGTCCCAAAGAGGTGTCGGATTTACTGTCCACAAGTGCCTCATTAACAACGATGTTAAAATCGAGGGTGGGTCATTCAGGGTATTACAATATGCAAAAGATATATATAGCTGAAGGCCATATGGACCGACGTCGATACACCAGTTGATGAGGTGGAGGCTTTGCTGTGGTGGGCAGGGCCGGATTTAGAGGTTTGGAGGCCTCGGGGCAACAAAGGAGTGTAGACCGCTTGGCCCCAACTTATTTTCAAAACAAAATGAACAATTTTTTTCAGTTGGGTTTTCCAATAAATAATTTATTGTGAAACCAAGTATAGATTCTTTTATTAATTAAAGAACATATAAATATAATCGGTTATAGTTATTAAAAGTTGTTTATTAGTGTTTACTAGTCTGAAATTGAAATTTGTTTTCCGAAGTCTCTTCTGTGGAGGCCCCTGGGCGGTAGCCCCAGTTGACCTGGCCTAAATCCGGCCCTGGTTATACGCTCATAACATAATGTTTCACACAAGCTACTGCACTATTAGAACTCAAAAACATACATAAACATAGATTACACACATAACTCTATGCAAACAAGGCGTGAGGCGTTTTACAGACATGTCTGTCAACTCTAAATAAATGCGGGCGATACTTGAGCAACTTACAAACATCGAAGCCAATGCTCGCCAGAGTTGTAGTGACTCACAGCTGGGTGAGATTGAAAAGTTCTATGGACAGCTGTAGACATCGTCATTGGAGTCAGTGTGAGTAACGACCTAACAGCAAAGCTCGTCCGACACCCCGAGAATATTCCGGACGTGAGTCTAAGCGAGATTAGAATGGCTCTTGGCCATCTTACACCTAACAAAGCGCCGGGTGAGGATGGAATAATTGCCGGCTTCGAAAGCGGATGGATAACCGAAACTCGTACTCCTTAGTAGTACTTTAATTCCGCCCTTCGGGGTGGTGCTGCAGTATGGGTGAAAGGGTTAATATTTATAATATCTTAGACTTTAGACTATATCTATATCAGGCAGATAATCAGGGAAATCAATTTCGTTTCCAGACGGCGCGGAATACGACTTTGTGATAGTGGGCGGCGGTACGGCCGGAAGCATCTTGGCGAACCGTCTCTCTGAGTATAGAGAGCTTAGCGTGCTTCTGATAGAGGCGGGCGGTGATCCACCTCATGAAACACTAGTAAGCCACCCTAAAATATAATTCATGCTATATAATAAGTTCAGCACAGTCTAATTATGCGAGAATTATCCGAGACAAACCAAAGCTTTCAGAACAGCGGGTGATTCGCATAATGTTAAATTATTACCGAGATGCATGGTGCAACAGCGAAGACTGTTTTTATCGCCCTACCACAATTGACTTCCACAGAAGAGCCAAATCATGTGTATAAAAACTGAGACTACTGCGTGACTACCACGGCAGTCTAGTTTGATCTGTTTACGGAACAAAACAATAGTTAGATTTCAGACCTACCTATTATACTCATGCCTTTCACACTGCATACAGACCTTGCCACAACACTTACGCAGAAAAATGTCGATCACGAAATAAAATCGCAGTTTATAATTGTTACTAAACATCTTACATGCTAATTAACTAGCATGCTCTTAGCTTCCAGGCTTGTTCGTGTTCTCACAAAACTCATCGGGCGACTGGAGCTATAAAACCGAAGATGACGGATTTACTGCACAGAACAACCGGAACCCACACGTCATAACATCTGCGGGCAAAATGTTGGGTGGCAGCAGCAGCATTCACCACTTGTTCTACATCAGGGGAAGCCCCATCGATTATAATGATTGGGCAACAGCTACGAATGACTCCTCTTGGAACTGGGAGAACATGCTGCCATACATCATAAAAACTGGTTACCTACAAGATCAAGAGATACTACTATCACCGGCCGGAAAATACTACAATCAAATAGGAAACGTCGCCGTCTCAAGACAGACTGACTATCGCCTTTACAGATACTTACAAGCTTTCTCTGAACTTGGGGAAAAAACTATGCTGGATATCAACGGGAAAGAAGCGTTAGGTTTCACTCAGCCCATGTTCACAATGTCCAATGGAATCAGACAGAGCACCGGCAACGGTCACCTGACGCCTGCCATAAACAGACCAAACTTGCACGTGTTGAAGAACACTGAAGTGACGAAGCTGCTTATCGACTCACAAAATAAAGCGTATGGAGTGGAAGCCGTTACCTCAAGTAGTACAATCAAAATTATGGCCAAAAAAGAGGTTATCGTATCAGCCGGTGCTTTTAACTCGCCCAAGCTGCTTATGCTCTCTGGAATTGGCCCTAAGAACGATCTAGAAGCACTGAACATCACCGTGCTAGCCGACCTACCCGTCGGCGAGAACCTGCAGGACCATGTCGCAGTTCTTCTCATGCACGAAATGGAGGAGATAACCGAGGCCCGTAAGCCGGAGAGCAAAGGCAATTTTCCAATTCCCACCTTCTTCGGCTTGACCGCTTTGAACAAATCGCAGGAATATCCCGACTACGCCACAATGAATCTTGTTTTCCCGAACGACCCGGCCAGTGCTCTTCTGATTTGCGCAAATGTTTTCTCCCAAAACAACGACGTCTGTCAAGAGATGTACGAGACTGCCACCAACAAGGAGGTTGTATTGACCATAGTCAATCTTTCCCGGCCAAAATCCCGCGGCAAGGTGTCCCTGCGCAGTGCCGATCCCCTTGACTCGCCGAAGATTTACACTGGATTTTTCTCCGACGAAAGCGATCTGGACAAGCAAGCGGCCTGCGTGGAGGACTACGTTCGAGTCGTGAATACTACGGTGTACCGGAATGCGGGCGCGAGGGCGACCAGGTTCAATCTGACGAACTGCGCCGACCTGGTGTTCGGAAGCAGCGAGTACTGGAAGTGCTACGTGCTGAACATGATGGACACTACGTTCCACTACGGCGGCACCTGTGCCATGGGCGCCGTGCTCGACTCCCGGCTGAGGGTGAACGGTGTCGACAGTCTGCGCGTGGTGGACGCGAGCTCGATGCCCAACATATCCAGTGGGAACATCATCGCCGCCGTCATGGCGCTCGCCGAGAGGGCCGCCGACATCATCAAGCAGGATTACGCGTGTGCCGCCTAGATGTCGCCACTATACTGACTCGAAATTACTTTTCGATTGATGAGCAATAAATATTATTGCAGATTAACATGTATGTTATAATTTATTCTACTTATACATATATCATTGTTATTGTATATAAATGATAATGTTAATGTTACTAATGCTGCTTTGATATATTTGCTCAAGTATCATGGACCCAAATCTTGCAGTTTTCATATTGTATCCTATAATCTCATGAGATACATAGCACAAGAGGCAAATTGTTTCTTCTTGAATCTGGCTGCAGAAAGGATTTTGGTTCTCTTTTTATTTTTAGGGTTCCGCACCCAAAGGGTAAAACGGGGGCCCCGTTTTACCCTTTGATGATATTACTAAGACTTCGCTGTCTGTCTGTCCGTGTGTCACCAGGCTGTATCTCATGAACGGTGATAGTTAGACAGTTGAAATTTTGATGATGTATTTCGGTTGTAAGTAAAAAATATTTAAGTTGGGCTCCCATACAACAAACATTTTTTTGCCGTTTTTATAGAAGATTGAAAGAGAGCTAAAGTAGTTTCTGTTTGTTTAAAGGCACTCAAAAATGAACTTAAACAATGACTTGTATTGTGACCGGTGCTGTAAGACACGGAATGAAATGTTTGAATCGAATCAAATTTTATTATACTCATATAAATGGCAAGTACCTGGAGGACCGAGCTTTCCTCGGTTTTTTTGGAAATTAAAAAATAATGAAAGCAATGATCTGGTCTAGGAAAAAAAGTACAAAAAAATAAGTGTGTAAATGATCGTGACACGAACCGCGGCCTTCTGTTTAGGGGCCGCCCGATTACCGACCGAGCTATTAAAACATTTTTTTTCCGCGAAATTTACCGTTTAGGCCATTTACGCATCTCTAGTGATTGAAGTTTTGTTTATATGTGGCTGACCACTATTACCCACTGACTCCCATTACCTCTTTTTCCCCTATATCCTGTATATACTATCGATTATTTTGTACTATCGATATCCTTTTACTGGCTATCGATAGTACAAACCTATCGAGGCTATCGATAGTTTTTGTCAAAACCTAATGGCAATTGCAATACTATCGATACCATCGATACTATCGTATGCATTATTATCGATACTATCGATAGTATTGCTGTTATCAATAGTATTGGCACTTGGAGAGCCATCGATACTATCGGTAGTATCGACAGTATTGACTTAGACGATATTATCGATAGTACAATCGTTATCCTGGATAGTTTTCCAGGTCAACTATCGATAGTCAAACTATCGACGGTTGTGCAAAACTACTTGGCACTGATACTGATCAAAGAGAATGTAATCACTACCTTTTAAGAGACGGGATTTCCTTAGTAGCCATTAGAATCACTTTACGTAGCACTTAGCTTCTTATCGATATCGATAAGAAGTACAGGTTTTTCGAGGTTACCGGGAAACCGAGGTTTCCCCTAAATATTTTTTTATTAATTTTAGGTAAGTTTCGAATTTCTATTTATTTCCAATGTTGATATTGGGAACTTATAGGGTAGGTAAGAGTGGACTTAAATGCGGACTAGAAATAAAATTAAAAAAGGATTCTGTTAATTCAATTAAAATTTTATTACTGAAATGAAATTTCTTTCTTGTCTCTTGATTCTGCAGCCAACAGCTGTTGTTGCCTGGAAATACTTGAAACATAAAAATAGAATCAAAATCCTAAAAATATTTAAACTTTCTTGCATACTCAGCGCACGAATTATATGGCGTATCATGCAAAATTCACCTAATCCGATGCTTGCTCATTTATGTAGGCACACCATTCAACTATATAAAACATTGTGCCCATGCTCTTTCACTGTGTGATAGCAATATCCGCCATTATTTGCCACGTCAAGTCCATAGTAAAATTTTTTGTTCCTAGTTTCGCCAAATTGGTACTGACAGTAACCCAGGTCACCAGTGTTACCAACTCTCGAAAATATTTGTCCCTAGAACTTAAGTTAAAAACCCCTAAATTCCCCTTGTTTATTTATTCCCATTTTAATAAAATAATATTATTAAAAAAATATAAATAATAATTTTCGTAAAGATTTGTGCCTTAATTTCCACATGAATAATAATACAGTTAAGTATATTGCAGCGAAAATGCTGGTCTTATTAGTTATAGTACTAATAAGTGTTTAAACAAAAATTGTAGGAAAATTAATTTTATAAAAAAAATCTCTCTTCTAATTTCTTTAGATGACCAATATTTCTACCGTAAACCCAAAAATGAGATTCATAATAAATAATAAAAAAATTAATTGATTTTGACGCTTTCTTTAAAGTTTATCCTACGCTACCGCTATTGACTTCGTTTTGCCGGACACTAAACTTTATCTCTACTTTGCATATTTCAACTGCGCAATTAAATATGATTGGATAGATTGCGATACAAAAAAATGAAAAATAGAACGTAGGAAAAAATATAAGAAGTCAAAAAGTCCCTAAAAATATTACTGAAAATGTAACGCTCCTAAAAAAATTCCAACGCGTTTATTTAACCCCTTTTTTTCTCTTGGGGGAAAAACCCCTAAGTTGGCAACCCTGCAGGTCGCTAAAAGTCACCACCGCGCGGCACATGTGCATATGGAAACCTATTACATAAATGCCCATAACCGCCACAGCACCATCTACTGTGAATTTTGTAAATTGCAACCGGCTGGTAACAGATACCGGTACTGTACTTTTACCTGATGTTACGTGATAACCGCTGCCCATGGACATTTGCAACACCCATAAGGTGGCAGATACGTTGCATTTTTTTAAAAAAAGGGGACCCCAGCTACCTCACTCACCAGACGAATCGAACATGTTTAAGACATTACAGTGGAAGGAAACCCGTGAAATGAAGACGATCTTTGATCAGGAAAATGGTGCATCAGATTCGCAATCGGCCTTAATTTCGAAAGTGAAGTTTAACTGTGGTAGTGCCACGCAATAGTTTTCACTGTTGCACGAATGGGCAGGTCCGTCCGGGTAATTACCACGACCTCACAGAAGACCAGCGTAAAGTAAAAGTGTTATACTGCGTTTTATCAGGTGATGCCGGGACCTGCTCTATTTAAAGGTGGCAACGCATTTGCAACCCTACGGGGTTTGCTAATGTCTATGGGCGGCGGTTATTACTTATCATCAGGTGAACCGCTAGCTCGCTTGCCACTTTTTTTACATTAAAAAAAATAAAAAAGTGAAGTTAGATACATTATCCTCTTAACATAGTCACGTATTATCCAACGATGAAGATAGGGGTGCTAAACGCACTTTACTAAAACGAAATTATTAAATATCACGTGAGTCGATGTAAAACTAACCTGTGCCTATGCTTAGGCTCTATTATTAAAAATAACGTCACATATTCTATACGAAAACTACAGAATATTGCGCTGATATAAGAATATTGAGGGATGTAATTAGATGACTTGCGCAGTTGCTAGGTAAAGGCTTCGGCGACAGGGGACGGGATTTCGATTCCCACACGGGACAATTATTTTTGTGACCCACAGAGGGTTGTTTTGGTTCTGGTTCGGTCCACGAGAAATTTATGTAAAACGTCCTTACAACACAGTATATTGTCCTACTGTAAGGGCAGTATTTAAAAAAAAAAGAAAAAAAAACCGTAATATGAAGACGATTCGGTCAAAAAAGGGCGACCGCTCGGCAGTCCTCCACAAATGAGTGCATGACGTAGTTTTATGAAATAATAATCTTTATCCAAAAGATAAGATAAATTTTCTTTGTTTAAACTCGGTGAGAGCCGTGATAGCTCATTGTCCGGACGCTCGCTTTTAATTCCACATGAGCAAACTGAGTACGAATCCTGGTGCCCGCACAATGAAATTGTTAATTTTAAGTGCTGATTTATCACGTGCTCAACGGTGAAGGAAAACGTCGTGACGAAATATTTTCGAAATATTAACAAAAAAATTTTAATCTCATAATTTTTTTCATACGCGCCAAATAACTTCAATATATATATATATATATATATATATATTATATATTTCGAGCCGCGTGGTGGACTATAGTATTAGGTCATAGTCCATGTCAACAATCTGCTCTGTACAATACCCCCTATTGGACAGAGCAGATTCCCTTTACCCAGCAGTGGGACATATATAGGCTGTTACTTTACAAACATGTTGCACATTATATTGCGTCCAAAAAACTGAATTACAGAAAGAACAATTCTACTAAGTAGCCTAAACTAGTAATTCTAGCCATATAACGCGACATACATATAGGTAACATGAGATGGTGCATATACATTATTACAAATATATTACAAATATTATGTGTAAAATATTTATTAAATTAGATTCGAATTGAATTAGACTTTTATAGCAAATTCAATAAATCAGATAAGATTAATTTACAACATTGACAATTTTAATACAGAAGAATAATTGTCCTCTTACCACAAAAAAAAAAAAAACTAAGATCGCAATATGCTGGTTTAGTCCATGAATACTTTAGGTGTTGACTTTTAAGCTCCGTAGTGCTCAATATTCTCCACGATTTAGGCAATTTATTAAAAATTAGCTATATTGTTTGGGTAAATCTACTATAATAAAATACAACAATACCAAATAAAAACTTTTATACGATCCAATTGGCGTAGTGGGTAGTAAACCTGCCTCTTGCGGGGTTCAATCCCCACAAATGGAGAAATATTGTGTGATGAACATAGTTTTTTCAGTGTCTGGATGTTTATATTATTTACATAAAAAAGTATGTTTCAGTATGTTTATCAATAATCTCGTACCCATAGTATCAGCGTTGCTTAGTTTGGGACTAGAGACGTTGTGCAAAAGTGGGAACTAAATATTTATTATTTATTTTCACCATAATACATCTCTCGCACTTGGGAGTAGGAACACAACGCTAGCAACTTTTTTCTCTACACCACATGCGCAAATCGTACACAGAGTTACACACACAAAACCGACAATAGTCCTCACATAACACAATTCATCGCGATTGCTCAC